GATAAATACCGATCTACTACCCAAGGCCCCATAGATTGTCTAGGCCTCCTCACTGACACCCACTTTCAGGGAATCTGGATCAGTCCTATACTGGCCTCTCAGCCATCAGTCTGGGGTCCAAGAGCTCCCCCTTGTTCAGGTCAGCTGTTTCTGTGGGTTTCACCAGCTCAGTCTTGACCCCTTTGCTCATCACCCTCCCTCTCTGTCAGTTCAATGTTTAGCTGTGGGTTTCTGCTTCTGCTTCCATCAGTCACTGGATGAAGGTTCTAGGATGGCATATAAGGTAATCATCAAAGTCATTATCAGAGAGGGAAGGAGGGGCATTTAAGGTAGTCTCTCCACTATTGCTTAGTTTGCTAGTTGGTGTCATCCTTGTAGATCTCTGGAAATCTTGCTAGTGCCAGATCTCTCCTCAAACCTATAGTGACTTCCTTTTATTGTGATATCTCTTATCCTGGTCTCCTCTATTTTTCCCGACTCAACCTTCCTGCTCCCCCATGTAGTCATAGAGAAATCTTAATCTCATACACCACATCTCTTTGAGGAACAAAGTTAAACTGTGTGAATGCAATATGAAATCCTCTTATTTATTTTTTAATACGTATATCACATACCAATATAGGTATTATACGTGTGAGTTTATGGAATATGGAAAAAATCAATGTACCTATCTCTCTTTCAGAACAATTAGAAGATGTATAGTAGTCTGAGTAGGCTTGGTGAATGTGGCACAAATTTACAATTAATCAGTTCCCCCACTTCTTTAGGAATTCATCAATAGACTCACACTGGAGGAAAGCCAGTGTACATGAGTACAAGGAATGTGGAAACATTTCTGTTTGTCCTGGTTCACTTTGCAAATGTATTGTATTCTCACACTGTAGGAAAATATTATAAAGGCAGTCAGTGTGCTAAAGCTATGAGTTCTTCCAGTTTTCTTTAAAGATGGGAAGAAACTCATGGGGAAAGGATACTATAAATGTGAGCCATGTACCTAATGCTTGAGCCACAACAAGTATCATCAAGCACTCAAAAAAAATATTGAAGAGGAACTTGATAATGCCTTTAGATCTGGTTCCTCTTTACAGTTACAGCAAATCTCTTATATGGAAGTAACACCTCATGAATATAAACCATGTGGTAAGTCTTAAGCATGTCAAACTTCCTGATTATATGAAAGATTTCATAGAAATAAAAAGATTCGTCAATATAATCAATTTAGTAAAACATTTACTCCTGCCAGGTTTCTTTGTAGGCATGAAAGAAGTCACACTGCAGAGAACCCCTATGAATGTGAACACTGTGGTACAGTCTTTGCACAGAAGAGTCATCTTCAAGTGCATGAAAGAATTCACACTGGGGAGAAACCCTATGAATGGAAGCAATGTGACAAAGCCTTTGCATATTCTGGTACTCTGAAATGACATGAAAGTACTCATACTGCAGAGAAACCCTTTGAATGTAAGCAGTGTGATAAAGCCTTTGTATGTCACTCTGCTCTTCAAAGGCACCAGAAAACTCATACTGGGGAGAAACCCTATGAATGTAAGCAATGTGGTAAAGCCTTTTCACAAAACTGTAGTTTCCAAATCCATAAAAGAACACATACTGGAGAGAAACCCTATGAATGTACTCAGTGTGATAAAACCTTTGTATCTAACAGTCACCTTCACCATCATGAAAGAATACACACTAGATAGAAACCCCATGAATGTAATTAATGTGGTAAAGCCTTTCTACATCCCAGTCACCATTAAAGGCATGAAAAATTCATACTGAAAAGATACCATCTGAATGTAATCCATGTGGTAAAGACTTTGCATGTCACAGTTATAGCTTACTACAGAAAAAGACACATGCTGGAGAGAAAATATACAAGTTTAATCAATGCGATAAAGCGTATTACAGAGAGAAACCCTATGAATTTAATCAATGAGAGTGGCATGTCTCTGACTCTTTTTGCTCTTGAGACCCTTTTCTTCCTACTGGCTTCTATCTTCCAGCCTCAACATGAAGGTTTGTGCTTGTATTGTCGCATCTTGTTGTGTTGGATTTAGCTGTTGTTGCTTGGAGGCCCACACTGTACTAGGAAATTCTAGAAGGAGTGGATCTGGGGGAGAGGGAAGTGAGAGGGTGGTGAGACCTGGGAGAAGTGGAGGAAATGTATTGTGTGAGAGAAATTGTTTTCAGTAAAAAGGAGAGCACTTTTAAATATGTAAATCTCATAGGTTTAAAAAATTCTAACATTAAAAAATAATTTGAGCAGCTTCAGGGGAGGAGCTGCTGCTTGGTGGACTTTCTTTGGGTGGGGTCTGGAACACAAGGAGTGGGGCTGAGGTCCCAGTCAAAGATCTGGATGGGTTCCAATGGGGTTCAAGCGAGAGACTGTTAAGATTTTTTTTGACTGAGTATGTGGGCAATTTTAGAGACTGTTCCTTGAGGTGCCGAGATGGTATATTCATTTGTGTTTGGTTAAAATGTTCAGTAGATGTCTACTAAGACCTTGTGGGTCACAATATCTCCTAGTTCCCTTGTTTGTAACATTTGTCTGTAAAGGCAGACCTGTCCATTAGTGAGAGTATGGTGTTGAAGCCTCCCACTATTAGTATGTGGAGTTTGACATGTGATTTCAGCTTTAGTAATGTTTGTTTTACAAATGTGGATGACCTTGCATTTAGGGCATAAATGTTCAGAAATGATACTTTATCTTGATGGATTTCCCCATTGATGAATAAGAAATGTCCTCCATCTGTTTTGAAGAGAAAGGGGAGGAGCCAGGGGTGTTAGTTCATGACAGGGGAACCCACAGAGACAGTTAACCTGAACTCATGGGAGCTAACTGATTCTGGACTAACATAAGCCTTCATGGTACCCATTTGGGCCTCTGCATGTATGTGACAGTTGTGTAGCTTCCTGTGTTTGAGGGCCTCCTAGCAGTGGAATCAGGACATGTCCCTTGTACTTGAGCTGGCTTGGGAACCTATTTGCCATGCTGGTTGCCTCCTCTAGGCTTGATGCAGGGGGAGAGGCTTGGTCCCGCCTCACCTTGATGTGCCATGCTTTGTTGACACCCATGGGAGGCCTGCCCCTCTCTAAATGGAGACAGGAGAAGTGGATGGCGGGTATATGGGAGGTGGGGGAGGCTACAGGAGAAGAGGGGGTAGGGGAAACTGTGCTCCTTATGTAAAATAAATGAAAAAAGTTAAAGAATAAAAACAGAATGAAAAGTTTTTTTTCTATGTCCATTATATTCCATCTTCTGCTCCTTGAGGCATATACAATTTTACTACAATTTGCAACTTCGAGCCACAACAGGAAAAGGAGAGAGCATTACTGATAGACAAATACCTGCAGGAAAATAATTCTCAGGTACTAAAACATATAGTTATTAAGAAAGGGGTTGAAACAATGTGGATCGCAGGATATCATTGTGCTCCCCCTGGTGCATGAGTTATGATCCCTCTCATACATAAGTATTTTCCCAAATTTATATTTTCCTCCCATTTGAAATGCGCCAAGCCAAAAACACATTCAGAAATAAAAGGCCGTGCAATCACTTTCAAACAAATGTAGTAAACACAGTCACAGTAGAGTTGGAGCCATAGGACTCTGTCCTAAGCCAATCATGGAGCACCATCCTAACCTGATCAGTGCCAAGATCGTGAGTGTCATGGCCATGGGAGGAGTATTTCTTCTTTTATTGATGAAAAGAGCAAATAAGGGAATGGAGAGATGGCTCGATGGTTAAGAGCGCTTCTCTTCCCGAGGTCCTGGGTTCAATTCCCAGCAACCACACAGTGGCTCACAACCATCTGTCAAGATCTGGCCTGCAGGCAGATTTATTATAAACACAGAACACTGTGTTTATAATAAATCTTTAAGAAAAAGAAAAAGAGAAAAGCAAATTATTGTCCAGTAACCTTCATAATTATCTTCCAATATTGTTTCTCAGATTTCTGTATGTTAATATTATGGAAAAGCAATTGATGTTTAAAAACCATGAGGAGGTCTGGTGAGTCTCCAGAGGTATATGTCTCTGGTCTATGACCAATGTATATAGACTCTCTCTTCTGGAAAAAAATGTAAACGTTCTTGTGAGGCAGAACCAAGAATCCATAATGTAATAGTACTGGCCTGAGGTGGTATCATGGATATGAAATATTTCCTGAAGAGGTTTCTTTAATCATAGTTTACACAGATGTGTCTGCCAGAATCATGTGTATCTGGTTTGTTCTTTCTGGTCTAATAGTAGTCTCTGGAGCTCATTGTCATAGTTCCTTCTAAAATGAAGTTTATTAAGCAAGCTCAAACTAACCATAAGGATTTATATATCAAAAGGGCCAACATGATATATACAAAAACCAAATGCCCTCCTTTTTCCAGTGGAGTAGTACTATGTGGGTAAGCAAGCGTAGTCAAAGCTGAATATAACACAGTCACATCAAATAAGGAGCATTTTAAAACTTGGTAACTTTATGAGTATAGGCAATAATGTCTGAGTACAGCTGCTAAATGTTGGACCCTGTCTATCTGTCCTCCCAGGTCTCAGTATCCCTAGTAATCTCATACTCCATTGACTGTACTTATGGCATATTAAAGGAAAGATCAGTGGAAATGTCATTAATGGCTTCCTAGCCATTCCCAGCAAATCATCTTTAGTCGTGAGTATATAGGATACCTGAGTCAAAAACTTGTCTCTGCTTGAGGGTAAGGCTGGAGGTTTTGGACCTGTTTCGCTGTCCTGAGAAAGGAACTGTAACTTTGAAATTTTGACTGGACATTTGGGCCTAGTAGTGATTTACTTACTTACATTTTGTTTTGGGTTTTTTTGTTTTGTTTTGTTTTTTGTTTGTTTGTTTTGGATTTTTGAGACAGGGTTTCTCTGTATTGCTTTGGAGGTTGTCCTGGAACTCACTCTGTAGACCAGACTTGTCTCAAACTCAGAGATCCAATCTGCCTCTACCTCCTGAATGCTGGGATTAAAGGCGTGCGCCACCAGTGACTGGTGTGTTCTTTCTTAGTTTTTATTTTTGTCTTCATAAATGTACTAACTCCTAAGTATTTGTTGGCTTTTGTTTCCTTTTCATATGTGTCTTTGTTGTTTACTTTCAATTGCAAGCAGTTACTCATTTTTCAGAGTTAGTCATTTGCTAAATTATACGTCACTTTGTAGTACACTTGCAGCATGTATCCGACCTCTCCTGAAATATAACAGATGCCTAAACTCTATTCTTCCACAGTTCTTTACAACAGTATCGAACATACCATAAAATAAACTTCTTTTTCAATTTAGAATTTGGTTCTTAGCCTGGAAGTGCTTGGAAGGGTTCTTGATATTGTAGACCAGGCTGTCCCAAACCCACAGAGACCCACCTGACTCCCCTGAATTCACTATTTCTTCTAGAACTCAGTATATCTTTGCTGTTCCTTTTACATTATGTATGTAATGTATACTTTTCTTTGTCTTTCTCTGAGATAGGGCATTCATATTTAATAAAATGTTGCACGGTACACAGTTCCAGTCTCTTCCTGTGTACTGATTTTTTTTCTCCTTGTAGCACGCCAGTTATTCCAGAACAGTAGGCAAGGATTATCATACAAGTTAAAAGAGTCCTTTAAGGCAGAATTAAAAAAAAAAAAAAAAAGGCAAAACCCTTTTGACGAAGGTACGGAATCTGCTTTGTTGACAAGAATATGAACTTCCTCTCAGCAGGGTTCAGGGTGCAGCAGAGACACTGCTGTGGGCTAGGTCATGTGCTTGGGTGGAGAGTGTGGCTGTGCAGGATGTGAGAGGGGGCGCGAGTGCAGAGGCTAACACTCTCCTCCTTTGCCATGGCAGATCTCAGAACATATTGGGGAAGTGTTTATTCCAGAAGATCTCTTCCTTCTTGTCCAGCTGTTCCTAAAATACGTCTGACTTCTGAGACTGGGGTGAGTCAGAGTAAAGGCAGAGAGACAGTGTGACCCTGTGTGTCCTGAGAGACAGTCTTTCTTATTTTGCATACCAATCCCAGTTCCTTCTTCCTCCACGCCTCCCTCCCCCACGCCATTCACCCACCCCACCACTGTCTACTCTTCTGAGAGGGTGAGGCCTCCCTTGGGGAGTCAAAAAGTCTGTCATGTCACCTTAAGGCAGGGCCGGGGTCCTCCCTCCTGTATCTAGACTAAGCAAGGTATCCCTCCATAGGGAATGGGTTCCAAAAAGCCACTTTATTTACTAGGGATAAGTACTGGTCCTGCTTCCAGTTGCCCCACAAACTCTCCAAACCACAATACTGTCACCCACATTCAGAGGGACTATGCAGGTTTCCCAACATCAGCCCAGAGGCAGTGAGTTCCCACTAGCTTGGGTCAGCTGTTTCTGCCTCTATGCAAAGAGCACTATAGCCTAACATTATTTCTCACTGCACACTGGGGAAAGTTGGGCTCTTTTCCCCTCTGTTTCTGTCGTTTGACATAGAATTCAGTGACCTCTTACTGAAGTCCTATAGAATTCAAGCTGTTAAGTGAGTCTTGTGTCCTCAAACTGGCTTTTTAGCCAAGGTTGACCTTTAACATCCTGCTTCTACTTCCCGAAGGCAAAGATTACAAGTGGGGCCACCAGGGCCAGTGAGGAGAGCCCCTGCAATTGAACCCTGGGCTTCCTGCATGCCGCCTGAACTATCCACACCTGTTGTCTTTTTCCTTGCCCTTTCCCCCTCTCTTAGCATACAATCTGTGTGAAACTCACAGAGTTTGGTAATCTATTTTCCTTTGGTTTCTTTGGTGCAGAGTTGACTGCACCACACTCAGATTGAGGGTGTTTTTTCTTGGTGGCTCCACCACTCTAGCAACCTCTGCCAACAACTCATCACACGTCCCCAGCACCAGGATGACTATATTGCATCAATCAGCTGAGGCATCTTGGGGCAGTTTTCAACTACTAGGCACATAATTTTCTGAGTGCATCCTGTAAGCTGATCCCACATTGCAGCCAACCCTGCAAAATCTTCCTGTGTATACCTCTAAGCTCCTGTACATGAGGCAGATGATCCTTCTTCCTACCCATTATTCTCTATATAATTTCTTTTATGTTCATTTTTTAAATTAACTTTTTACATTCCAATCTCAGTTCTCCCTCCTTTCCTCTCAAACCCTCCACTACCCCGACCTCCCATCTGCTCCATGGAGAGGGTAAAGCTTCCCCTAGGAAGTCTACTAAGTCTATCCCATCATCTCATTGAGGCAGGACCAAGGACATGGGTTTTGTGCATGGTGATAGATATGGGTCTATGTGCATTCTATTACAAATTGACAGCCAACATACCAGCACCATTTGTTGAATGTATTTTCTTTTTCCCATTTTATATTTTTAGCTTCTTTATTAAATTAGGTGTTCATAGGTTTGTGGGTTGATATCGGGGTCTTTGGTTCAATTCCACTGGTCTGCCTGTCTGTTTTTATGCCAATGCCAAGCTGTTTTCATTACAATAGCTCTATAGTAGAGCTTGAAGTCAGGGATGATGATGTCTCCAGAAGATCCTTTATTGTACAGAATTGTTTTGGCTTTCCTGGCTTTTGTTTTTTTATTCCATATGAAGTTCTGTATTGCTTTTTCAAGGTCTGTGATAAATTGTGCTGGGATTTTGATGAAAATTGCATTGAATCTGTAGAGTACTTTGGTAGGATTGCCATTTTTACTGTGTTGATCCTACCTATCCAAGAGCATGGAGCTCTTTCCAATTTCTGATATCTTCTTTAATTTCACTCTATAAAGACTAAGTTCTTGTCATGCAAGTGTTTCGTTGGTTCAGGTGTGTTTGCTGTATGCGGCAGAAGAATGGATTCTGTTTTCAGATCCAATCTGTTAGCCTGTGTCTTCTTATAGGTAAATCGAGACCATTTATATTCATGGATATTAATGACCAGTGATTGTTAGTTGTGTTTATTTTTGTTTTTGCTGTTGGTGATGGCATTTTGTGTTCAGTTCCCTTCTTTGGTGTTTTCTGATGTAAGCTCATCTATTTCCTGTGTTCTTGTGGACATAGGTGATTTCTTGGGTTGGAGTTTTCCTTCCAGTACTTTTTGTAGGGATGGGATTGTGGATTGTTTTAGCATAGAATATCTTGTTTTCTCCATCTACAGTTATTGAACACTTTGCGGGGTAAAGTAGTCTGGGCCAGCATCTGTTGGTCCTTTAATTGTCTGCATCACCTCTGACCAGGACCTTCTGGCTCTCATTGCTCCCATTGAGAAGTCAGGTATAATCTGATAGATCTGCCTTTATATGCTACCTGGACTTTCTGCTTTGCAACTCTTAGTATTCTTTCTTTCTTCTGTATGTTTATTGTTTTGATTATTATGTGATAAGGGAACTCTTTTGGGGTCCCATCTATTTGGTGTTCTGTAAGCCTCTTGTATTTTCATAGGCATGTCTTATTTAAGTTGGGAAAGTTTTCTTCCATGATGCTGCTTCTCAGTCTGGGGCTCATGGCTCCCTTGATGCTGCTCCGGGCCTGAAGCTGAGGTCTTCCCCTGACACTACTTCCAGGCTCCTTATGTGATTTCTTAGCACTGCTGTATTTCTGTGTGATGAACAGGGTATGTTGAAGAAGGAATGAGCATCCTTGAGAAGTGTTTGCAATGTAAACACCCAATTCCCCACATAGGAAGGATTTCCAATCAAACAGAGAAAGAGAGATCTCTAGGTTGGATGGAGATGCTGGTGAAGGGCTTTCCCTGTCACCTAAGAGTCTCTGGGAAAGGGCAGCTTGAATCCTGGTCAATTTCAAGGGAGCTATTTCAAAGGGGAGTTCCCAGTAATATGAGTAGACCCTTTGCAGGAGATGCTATTGTATCCTGGATACCCCTAGAATCTTCTGATGTCACCAGTGTCATGGTACCACCAACTGCTCTTGGGTCACTCCTTCAGTGCATATAGGGCTCTCCATGGACATATTATTGGATAAAGAATGGACAGCAAAGAAAGACCACAGAAAGGCAGAAGGAAGCTGACCTGAGGTCACAGACAAACAGCAAGAAAGAGATGGTCTTTCAGAAGGCCCAATGAGTCCTGGGCCGGAATCATGGGCTCCCTGGAGGAGATGGCTTTGAGGGGGCTTTCCAGGCAAGAGGATCAGGAGTTGGGAGCCTCTAGGAAGGAACTGTGATTCCCAGCTTGTCCTATTTCTTGAAAGACAGGGATTCCAAATATTAGTTTGTTTATATGAAAAGCCAGAAGCTGGCAGGGGTGTAGCTGTTGTTCTGGGAGTTCCTGCAGTTAGTGTCCTTGTAAGAGTTAGAAACAATCAGGAAACGGGGAGGGACTGTTGAGATGTCCCAAGCTTAGGGCAGGGCATGACTGCACTTCACTGCCAGTGGCTACTTTAGGTGCCATGGGGTGACACTGGGAACAGGGAGAGAAAAGTGCTTCCAGAGAAGACTCATGTTCTCAGGCTTCACAGCAGAGTTACTCTGACCAGCACTCTCTGGCAGTGGCCCCCTTATGTTCTTAGTCAGCAGAGGCGGGTGGCCAGCAGTTCCCCAGCACAGCAGAAGAACTGTTAGAACCTTTGGTCAAGGACAAAGACTAGCTATTACCTGCCAGCTTCCGGTGTCCTGGGCTGTAGTGTGTGGCTTCATGAGTCTGGTGACCATGACCTAGCTCTCCATGAATCTCCAGGAGTGTGTTGTAGGGACCTAGGAGGGAATTTTGTCATCTCCATGCAAGTGAGTGTTTGTGGACTCAGCCATTTTCCTCCTGGCTTCTCAACACCCAGGTTAAGTGTACTAAAGCCAAGTTACAGGCTGTGCAGCTGTGAGGATGCCTGGGGAGTCTCCCCAGGTGCCCTGAAGTGTGTGTTAAGCGAGGCTAAAGCAACCAGCAGCTGCTTCTCCACACAGCGATGAGCAAGTTGACATCCACTTGCCCAAGTTGAGAACCAGCTAGGGCAAAGTTTCACCTTTCATTTCACTCACTGAATATCACAGTGTTCTCATGCTGGACTGTGATAAAGCAGGTTGTAGGGTAGGGACTATCTATCAGCTGCTGCATCTGAGAGTCTGTTGAAGGCACCTGAACTTCCCCCAGGAAAGGCCAATGTGAAGGGAAATCACATGCACGGCCTCTTTCTGTATTTTCCTGGGCTGGAGCTTAGGCTGTGAAGAAGCATTGTCTTGAGCTCATGTTCACATGGCCCAGCTGTCTAAAAGCACCAGGACACAGACTCCTATAAATTATGAGATCTGAATCGTTTACCCTTTGCCTTCTAGATCAAATATCCTTTGAGGCTCCAACGGACGCTGTAACGATAAGAGACACACTGAAAGTAAACTAAGTATTTATTGTAGAAATTACTCACAAGGTACCAAACAAGTAACCCAGATGAGCCAAGTAGCTTTCCGCTGCCGAACCGGAAGCCGAACTCTGGGAAAAGAGACCGAGACTTCCTGTGTGCTGTCTTTTATGCCTTCCCCCGTAACGCCCCCTAGCCATGCCCAAAAGTGGGCCTGGCTAGTGATGTAGTTCACCGCCTACGTACGTATACGTCTTTACATCCAGCCGTATACGTCTTTAGTCATGCCTAAAGTGGGTGTGGTTAGCGGTGTGGTAAACCACCCTTTTATTACCTCATCTGTATGCGCCTCTAGTAAGTCACATGGTTAATGGCGGCATACAGACTTCCTCCTACAATTCCCCTTTTAGTCTAAAAAGGACAACTAACTTGTGTCCATGAACAAAATGTATCAAACATCTATTCTATCTAAACCTAAACTTATCTGAAAGAAACACCCAAATCTGAACACCTCTTTCCAATCCCAACTCTAAAATAATTGAAAACTAACACTAACAGGTGTAAACTACCTTATAATATCAATAGTAGGGAGAGGGGGCGTGGAATTCTCAAAACTACTTCCTGCTGAGATGGGATGATGATAATCTCATGGGGACC